TTGGTGTATGAAATACATGAGGAAAAATGAATGTGTTCCAGAATGAAGATGGTATAGGGCCATAGTTAGGAGAAGCTTCTAAAGGTGAATTTTTCAACAGACCTACTTGCCCCTTGCACTATATGCCTCTGAGGAGTTCTAGAATTCTCCAAACAAACTCAAGCTGAATGCAGTTATTATTTTTGAAATACCCCGTATAAGCACGCCTTAGAAATTCAGGAAGAATAGCCTTAGAAGAAGCATACAAACAAACTCATGATCTTGGCTGAAATGCTCCTTTTGATGGTGTTCTTTAGTGCTCGAGTTCTTGGAAGAGCTCCAAATGACCCCTTCAAGTTACTTTTAAGTTGCTTTTTCAACTTTCTGAGATCCACATTTAAAGTGACCCCACTCTGTAATATGGCTCAAAACATTTAAAAATTCTTTCTTAACTGAAGTAAAACAAGACTAAAAGCATTTGTCAACAGTTATAATTTTTAAAAATACTCCTTTATATAGATAAGTTCTGACCAGATATATCCTTTGTGAATCCCTAATGTTTCCATGCAATCGTTATTCCGCCTGGGGTACCATCTGAGGGTTAACTATTGTCTGAAATGCACATGGAAGCATAACTGCTGTAGCTGAGAAATGACCACGTTTCCATTTAGTTCTTAGCAAGAGTAATTGAATGTAGAATATCTTACTAAATGCTGGACTGTGACAGTGTGTTAACACTCTGACTATCTCCTAACAGCAGGGCAATTATTTGCTGAGTGGGATTTTTATAAATCCCCTGGCAGTAGTATGTCCTGATAATTATGATGAAGTGCATTGGTCAGTGTTGATTCAGCAGTCCCTACCCTAGCAAATATTTCATTCACAGTTCTCTGGCCCACTTTTACTTTTCTAGTTATTAGAGAGAGATCTTTACTACTCTTCTTTACTGGCTGAGTATATTATTTTTTAAAAGCATATGTGATTAAAACTTAGAACCCAAATGTATTTTACATAGGTCTTCTTTAAGAACTGTTTCTCTCTCATGGTATTCAGAAATTTTTAATCAAGAGGCAAGAAAATAGTTTTAAATTTTATCCCTATTTGTTGTAAGCCACTTTTTTTTTTTTTTGCTGCATAATTGTCACTTGTGAAACTAAAACTTGAATTCTTCTACCTATCCTGAATACTTAATTATTCTTCATACCTGGAATAAGCAGCTCCTTGGAAATCATGAGAAATTATTATTTCTGTTCTATTAAAATAGGAAATTAGAACATTAGTAATTGTGATTTGGGAATTGTAGGTGCACACAATCCTGTGTCCTATTCTTCCTATTTCATAGAAATTTGTTTTAAAAGTACACCTTGATAACAAAGAGAAGAGAAAAAAATTAGACTATAGCTTCCCCCAGGCAATTACAAAATAAAGGTCAGTGTATGAGTGGAAAATGGCCATAAAAATGTTTTTCATGGAATAAAATAGTAGATGCTCCAAATAAAACAAGTATACCCATTTATTTTCAAATCAATTGTACCTCTTTAACACTTTTCCATATAACACTTAAGTATAAGAACAAAAACGGAAAAGAAAAGAGCCAATTGATAGATTGTTAGAAATATGGAATGGTTCAAATATTAATGTAATGCTAAGGGTGACTGGGTAACAAATGGTACATTTGCTCGTTGCTCAACCTGACATAATTAATATTCCAGGTCATGCTTAAGTTCCCATGATGGAGAGTCTGAAGAGGGGAATTCAAGAAAAATATATATCTATTATATAACTCATTGCCTTTTTTTTTTTCCTTTTGACGAGTCAGAATCATAGCCTTTAAAAAAAATCAGTGCTTTCACACCTCATTTGCCATATTCACCACTGGGCCACCAGTCAGCAGCAGGGCCTGATGCAAGGAGGTCAGTAAGAAGCTATTAGCAGAGTCCTCTCCTGAGATTTCTTGGGTCTTATTGAGTTGAATGTTAGCATGACAGTACTGCAAATAACTCAGTTGTAGGCTTTTTCTTTTTTTTTAAACAGTTAGCACAGATTTCCCCATAGTGTTGGTCACTCTAGAAAATTATTGCTGAAAATGAAGTCCCCAAAGCTAGCTTGGCAGTAGCCCTTCTAAGTTGTGAAAAATGTGAAAACTGAAAAATATGCCGTAGTCCCTTAGGATTAACCCTGTCTTTTGTGACTCATGGTAATATTTTTAAAAATCAACAACAAACGATTCTTCATAAGTGGCTTCGAAATGATGAAAAATGGCAATTGAGACAACAATATGTTAAGGTTGTTTTATTTACTTAAAGAAATAATAAGTAAATGAATACTGTATCAATGTAAATAAATAGGGTATTTGCTTGCTGTAGGGATTGAGTGCTGGACTGTTTCTATTGACATAACTTAGCAAATGTATTAAATTAATTTCTAAAATACTGACACCTTGAAGACTTTAAATGATACATTTGAAATTCAATTAAAATATATTTCGATCTATATTTGATTTAAATTGCAAAGAGAATACACATGAGGAGGCCTCCATATAGGTTGCAAAATATAATTTAAGAAAGCTATCATGTCTACCGATCCATTTGCATTTCCCATCTAGCCTATGTATACACGTGCATGCAAATGTGCAAGGAGATCAAAGAGGATTTCTAATGGGGTAAAGTTAATAGCTGGTAGTAGTTATTCAGGTAGGTAGATATTTTCAAATGATAAATTATAATCTAGCTAAATTGTATGTATTTTACTATTTTAATCTGTAGGGTTGTAGAAATGTTAATAAAAAACTAACAGACTTCAGGTTTATTAGATCATCACTGATCAGAATGTTATTCTCATATCATTTTTATTGACTGTACATTTAGTTATACTTTATGTCATGGTAGTCTTTTAAAAATATAATATTTATTTTTTTCTCATTATAATGGATACATTCTCATCTTAGAAAATCACCCTAGAAATTATCTTTATAATTGCCATTGACTTAAAAATTACTGTCCACAGAAATCTATTGTCTGTGTATTTACCTTGTCTACATTTACTGTTATAGTGAGAAAATGTTAACATGACATTAGAAATGGTTTATATAACTGCCTTTAATGTTTTTCAGCACAGTGTTTTTCTTGTGTCAATTGTAATAGAGAATAAAGCTCAAAGAAGAGCCAGTATAAAAATATTTTTAAATGTGTAAATGCATTTACATTAACTTTTTTGTATCCAATAAAATTCAGTCTCCAATTATAAAATAAGAAAATTTAAGTTGGAGGTGACTCAAGTAGGTCTTTGACAATGTGTTTTAAAGCAAATTGAAACTGCTCTGTTAAGAAAGAGAAAAATGGTTTAATATGAATATTCTTTGAAAGCAGCCAATACGATTTTGAAGTAAGTCTCAAACTTTTTATTAAGATATTTATGTTTCTTAGGAAAGCAAGAGTAAAATAGAGGTTTTCATAAGCCTTTCTGAACTGTGCATTGCTATTCTAGATGAGCATTTAACATTCATTTATTGAGTGCCTACTAAGTGCCAAGTAACCTGCTAGGCCCTGGGATTGCAAAAATACCTGGAACCGACGCTCTGTGCTCCAACTGCTAGCTCATGGAAGACATACATGTAAATATAATTTTGAAACAGTATAATGTGACAGGTGTTGTGGTGGTTATTTCCATAGTAAGGAAACATTTGGGATAGGACGTTGCATTTGGGATAGGACATTGCATTTGGGATAGGACATTGAATCTAGCTTGCGTAGATATTTGATAGAGGTTAACACTTATTGTTGAGTTAGGCTGGAAATATAAACTGTTTTTAAATAGTTTTTCCAAAACAGCTGTCTTAGTTAATGCTTAGTAACTGCTGATTCCATGAAGTAAATATAGCAAACAAGCATGTTTATAGATATGTTGATGGCATAAGAGAAATCACATTTTTAGTAAGAACAGATAAATTTAATGGATATATTCTTTATATAGTCCAGGGTGTCTACAAAGAAACCAAATAAGTCATACTTCCCTTTAAAATGTAACTTCTCCTTTTGAGTATGCATTTGTGTATGATATTTACATATTCACGTGTGTATATATTTTGATATAAGGCTTCATCAAAGATTGGTATCTAATACCATTAAAATATAATATCCTCAAAATTTCATTCTATGAAGTTTGTATACTCAAACAACATTAAATTTTCAAAAATGGACATCTGCTAAATTTGACTGAACATTTGACACACAAACATCTATTGAACCGCTATTGTATGATAGGCACTTTTGACTATTTTGATGCAGTATGTGACAAAGTCAGTGATAGAACAGCAAGGATAATAGGACACTACAGAAGCATAGCACCTAACCACATGAATACAACTCGTGAAATACAGGATGTTATTTTGAGTTATATATAATTTAGTTTTATAGCCTATTATTTATAGGCTATAGACATCATTATAGGTGATACCTATAGCATTATATTATAGCATTATAATTAGGTGATACCAGTTTGACTGTTAAAGCACAAAAGTTAAGATAGCTGCCCTCGGGTTGTGTAATGAATAATAATTAAAATAATCAATCAAATATTTGAGTACATATTTTGTATCTGAAACTTGTTCAAGCATTGTATATTTGACTTCCTGTGAGTGAATGTGTGACTTACTCATATAGTTAAATATACATAACATATAGTTAGAACACAGAATGAATGGCTTGGGGCTTACTGTAATTTTTTCTTAAGTATAATGATGTGAAAAGGCTGTGTGACAGATAGGAACTTTATCTCACTAGTTTTTAAAATATTTAGGTGCTCAATCCTGAAAGATACTGAAATCGTTGGTCTAGAGTAAAGACAAAGTATGAATATTTTGTAAAATCTCCTTAGGTAAATCTGAAGTCCAACTCTGTTTAAGAACCTGTAGTTAAAATATTCTTTAAACATAAGAAAAAAATTCATGGTGCAACTACATTTTTCTTTTATTTCATGTGAAAATTAAAGACAAAAATCAAAATTGATGTCTTCTTCTTTAGATTCCAGGAATATACAATTCACCATTTAGAAAAGAGCCTGATCCATGGGAGCTGCAATTACAGAAGGCAAAGCCTTTAACACACCAAAGACCTAAAGTTAAGCAGAAGTACTCCACCAGCCTTACTGATTGGCTAGCTTGTACAAGCGCCCGTTCTTTTCCTCGGTCTGAAATTCTACCACCTATTAATAGAAAGAAATGTCAGGTACTAATTTGCTATATAAGGATTCTGCCATTAATTTTATTCTTGCTATTTTTTTACTTTTTATATTATGATAAAACACGTTACATAAAATTTACTATCTTAATTTAACCCTGTTAACTATACAGTTTAGTGACATTAAGTACGTTCATATTTTTATGCAATCATCTGTCACTAGAACTCTTTTCATTTTGCAGAATTGAAACTCTATACCCATTAAACAGCTTTCCATTTTCCTTTGCCCCATCCCCTGACGTGACTTGTTTCACTTAGCACAATGTTCTTAAAGTTCATCTTTGTTGAAGAATATGTCCGAATTTCCTTCTTTCTTAAGGCTGAATAATATTCTAAGTACATACCACATTTTGTTTATCCATTTATCCACCAATAGGCATTTGAGTTGCTACCACACTAGCTATTGTGAACAATGCTGCTGTGAACATGGGTGTAAAAGATCTTTTTGAGATTGTGTCTTCATTTATTTTAAGAATATACTTGGCTGGGTGCGGTGGTTGACACCTGTAACCCCAGCACTTGGGGAGGCTGAGGCAGGCAGATCACGAGGTCAGGAGTTCAAGACCAGCCTGGAAAACATGATGAAACCCCATCTCTACTAAAGATACAAAAAATTAGCTGGGTGTGGTGGCAGGCTGGCACCTGTAATCCCAGCTACTTGGGTGGCTGAGGAAGGAGAATTGCTTGAACCCAGGAGGCGGAGGTTGCAGTGAGCGCAGATTACACCATTGCACTCCAGCCTGGGTGACAGAGCAAGACTCTGTCTCAAAAAAAAAAAAAAAAGAATATACTCAGAAGTGGAATTGCCAGATTATATGGTAATTATATTTTTAATTTTTGAGAACTGCCGTACTGTTTCCCATAGCATTTGTACACACTTTCCATTCCTATCAACAGGGTACAAGGGTCCCAATTTCTCCACATTCTCACCAACAATTATTTTCTGTTCATATATATATATATATATATATATATGTGTGTAATATATTTATATATATTATAGTATATATTAACATATAATATATTATAGTATATATATATTTATATATTATATATTTTTATATATTTTATATATGTATAAATATATATATAGTACCATCCTAATGGATGTAAAGTAGTATCTTGTTGCAGTTTTGATTTGCATTTTTCTAATTATTAGTGATGTTGAGAATCTTATTATATTTAATAAGTTAAAACATGGATTATTTTCTAGAATCTAGATTTTTTTATGTAAAAATATTGTTATAGCACTTGATATACTTGGTTATACTTGATATATAGGTTATATTTGATACACAGGTTATACTTGATGTAACTTGTAGCTGGGAACATACGTATTATCAATTTTATTGAATTTTACCTCTCATTTGATGCTATATGTCTTTATATGCCATTTTAAACATAACTGGGGTTTGAGTAATTTTGAAAATGTAAATTTGAGATTTAGAGACAGCTCAAAACAAAGCAAGACTCATAGTAGAGATGGGAAATCTTCACTATAAGTGGATTGTGGTAGAACAGGATTGGCAAATGACTTCCTGAGGCTAAAGGGTAGAGTGGGGTGGGGTTGAGTGATGATTGTCACCATCCTAAAAGTCCCTGAGAGCAACAGGTCTCTCATCCCCATCAATAATTAAACTGCCACCGTGTAGTATCAACCTTGAATTGGGTTAGATTTGGCTCACACAGTTAAACTCCCAGAACTCCTGACCATTAGCTCCCCACATTGGTGTGCTTTTGTGTATCTATATTGCTGTATAATAAATTACTCCAAAATCTAATGGGTTAAACCAACATAAATTTGTTATTTCACAGTTTCTGTGGGTTTGCCATTCTAGGTACAGACTGGTGAGTGCCTCTGACTCAAGTTCTCTCATGATGTTGTAGTCAAGATGTCAACCAGGCCACGCAAAGTGGCTCATGCTTGTAATCCCAGCACTTTGGGAAGGTGAGGTGGGAGGATCACTTGAGACCAGGAGTTCGAGAGCAGCCTAGGCAACGTAGTGAGACCCTGTCTCTATTAAAAACAAAAACAAAAACAAAAAAACAGAAAGATGTCAGCTAGGGCCGTGATCTCATCTGAAGGCTCAGACAGAGGGTGCGAATAGGAGGACAGTGAGACCCTCTTGGTTGGTTCCCTCACTCACATGGTTGGGTGTTGTAATGTCTCAGCCCCTCCTCACATTGGCATCTTCACAGAGCTGCCTCACAACATGGTAGCTCACTTCCCTCTGGGTGAGTAATCCTAGGGAGAGTGAGAGACAGCTTTCAAAACAGAAGCCACAGGCTTATAAAGCTAATGCGGGAAGTGACATCCCATCACTTCTGCCTGTTCTATCTGTTAGAAATGAATACTTCCATTTTATACTCAAGGGCAAAAGACTACATAAGGCATAAATACCAGGAGGCAGGGGCCCTTGGGGGGTCATCTTAGGGACTGCCTTTTATACCCCCAACCATTGAATCATCCTGGCAGTAAGATAGTCCTGCATTCTGTGTCATTGAAAATTTCCCACTTTACTGTAATGATTTGTGATATATGTTGTGTTTCCATTATCTATAATTTAATTACATCCTTAATTCCCTTTATTTGTCTCTTTTTTTTTTCCTCAAAACTACTAACTGATAATACTATTAACTGGTGGTTATACTATCTTACAGAAGGAGCTATAAAATATAATTGAAAATCTATAGTCAGTTTCTCCCTTGGACTGCTCTTTTTCTTCATCTCTGATTCAGTTCCTATGATATTCTATTTATATCAGTATTCTTTTTTTGAGATGGAGTCTCACTCTGTCACCCATGTTGGAGTGCAGTGGTGGGATCTCAGCTCACTGAAACTTCTGCCTCCCTGGTTCAAGCGATTCTCCTGCCTCAGCCTCCAGAGTAGCTGGGATTACAGGTGCCTGCCACCATGCCCTGCTAAGTTTTGTATTTTTAGTAGAGACAGGGTTTCGCCATGTTGGCCAAGCTGGTCTCGAACTCCTGACCTCAAGTGATCCACCTGCCTTGGCATCCCAAAGTGCTGAGAATACAGGAATGAGCCATCACACCAGGTTCATGTATTAGTGTTCTTAATTACCTAGTAAACGAATCCATTATGGAAATCTGACGATTCTTTCCTTTTCTAAAATGGATTAACAAGCATGGTGGAGTGAGCAAGGGGACAAAAGAGAGATAGTAGGAAAATTTTCTGTTTTCTGGGGGATATATCTTCAGAGTATGGTTTCATTATTCCTTTTTAAATAAGAGTTATATCAATATTCTTGTAAAAGCATTTAAAATAGTTTTAATGCAAATATAAAATGAATTTTATATTATGAATAACTGAATTTTTGTTATTTTGAATTTTGTACATTACTATTTTTCTATTAGTGTAAGTAATCGTCACATTGTATATAAAACATGTAACTGCATCAAGTAATTAATTTTGTTAATTATTCTATCAAGAAAATAGTAACTCTAGCATTTCCATTGGTTGTATATTAAGTGTTCAGTGTGTTAAATGTAATAACTGTTCAAAAGCAGTTAAGGTAGATATAACATTGCATATTTAAATTTTCAATAATCTACATTGCCTGCTATATTCATTTGTGTAACTACTGGTACTACATGGAATTCATAGAGTAATTTTGCATACAATGTTTTAGGAAATGTGAAAATTACATGGCATGAATAAAATAAGGGCATGTAAATATTTCTAAGCTGGAAACACCATGAAGGTCATGTGAACCAAACTACTACACTGTACAATATTCACAACATTAACCATTAAACATGTAATATTACTGTATAGGTGTTTTATAATGTTATTACATTTGTTTTATTGCCCTGCTTTTAATATACTTTTATGATGTGGCTTCTTCTACACTTGTTAGTATTCATTCTTGATTTCTGTTTCTCAATACAACGTCCATACAACCATTTTCATTTCTTACCATGGCTTTCTTCCTCCACACCATTCTATTTACACATATACATATATACCTAAGTGTATTTAGTGTCTATGGAATACATTGGTGAAAGGTACATATAGATATATAGAAACAATATATGAATGATGTATAGGTATATGAAAAATATATATGTATAAATGGTATATCATCCCATATGAAAGTTATATATATGTATGGTATAAGTATAAAAATAGAAAAATACACACATTTGTAAAACAACGTGTGTGTGTGTAGAGACAGAAATATATATATTTATATATTTATATTTATATATGAAATGTATAAATATATATTTTATATTTCTATATATATTTGTATATGAAATTTATAAATATATATATTTGTATATGAAATTTATAAATATATATATTTATATATGAAATTTATATATTTATATATGGAGGAATTAAAAATATGTATTTATATATGGATATATATATACTTAATATATCCTCCTGAATTACATTTATCTAGCATGCTACAAAATAATGATCCCTACTAATATTTTTTCTTCTTTCTTCCTTTTTTATTCTCTTCTCTTCTTATCTATTATTTTCTCCTTCATTGTTTTTTCTTTCCGTCTTCTTCTGTCTCCTTTCTTTCCTATTTTAAGTTCCTCCTCCTCTTCTTCTGGCCATGTCATCCCCACGGTCCTGTTCTTCATTCTCTTATCTTTCCTTCCTTCTCAATCTTCCTTCTGTCATCTTTTCTTACACCTTCTACTCTTTTTTGCTTTGCCTCTTTCCTTCCTATTCTTCTCCATTCTTCTTTATTTTCTCTTTCCCTTCTTCTTTCTTTCCTTCATTCTTTTTCTTTTTCCCAAAATGGGATTGTTTTATATTGGTTTTTTTTCTGATCCATATTTCTGTATGTTACCCAATAATAGAAAAGTATGTAACTCATTGGTGACATTTGAGATTATGCCCAAATGATGATATTTGTACTGTAACCAGAGTAGCTCTACTTGTCAGGTGAATTTTTAAAATATCTGTGATAATTTTATGGTTTGAATAATTAAGCTTAGAAATACAAGATGACTATAAATAACATGAATTATGAAAAATACAGTAGGACATAAATATATCTGACTCTCATAACCAGGGCTTAGGTAGAAGCAAGGTAAACTAAACATTGAAAAACCATAATACCTGTAAGGTCAGGTTGAGTCTTGGATAATCTAGGCATTTTAGGGATTAATTGGAAATAAGTACAATCAGCAGATCTAAAGCTTGATAGGTGAAAGGTACACATAGACATATAAATACAGATATATATTTACAAAATCTGGGTTCCCATGTCACTCTAAGTATTATTGGGATAGGTGATTGCCTGATATAAAAAAAGAAAAGAAGGCAGATTTTCAAAAGAAATATAAATTAATAAAAATTTGACATCAGAGAAACTTTACAGCTGGTGTCAAGTTCACTAACCAAGGAACTGGAGGACAATTGAGCTCAAAGGCAAGATGCTAATCGTCTGAGATACAAATGTATGGACCAGCCACTGAGAAGATATAGGGACATGGACATGACTGCAGAAAGGTCAGGGATCATGAATGTGGTAGTGAATCCAAAAGGAAGACTGAGTTAGCTTTCATTCTAATCTTAAGCAGGGTTCCTTCTGTTTCATTTTCTAGTCTCCTTAGAACTAATAAGTTCCAGAACAAGTAGCAGAGTAAGCCTGCAGGTAAATATGTGTTATGTTTGCATACCAACAAAGGTTAGAAGGCATAGCTTGGCCACCGAGAAGACCATTGCTCCATGTGAATGCTGGCCTCTTCAAAGTCATAGCCTTTGGCCATTGTGTATTTCTTTGATGCTACTATTGCGCAAAACCTTTTAAAAACTCTGTTGAAGCTAATAATTATAATGGTAATAATAATAACAACAATAATGCAGTGGGTACCATTTTGAGTATTTACTGTGTTCTGAGTACATGGTAAGGGTGTTCCATTGTGTTACACATCTTAAGAGGAATCCTGAGATGTGATTATTCCATTTTACATATGATGAACATCAGCATAGAGAAGTAGTTTGCCCCTTGTCATACAACCAAATATTAAATTTTTTTAAATTAGAGAATCTGTCAAAGTAAAAGGATCTGAGTAAGTTTAAAAAAAAAAGTCGTCCCATTTGATTTCTTAATAGTGGACTTGGAATCATGTTACTGTATCTTTAAAAAGTAAAGTTCTAATAAAAATCCATTAACTACTTTCAAATACAGCAGTTCTCCTGTCCAGCTGTGAAAAGTACTAGATGATACTTATTTGCCATTTGTGTTATTTACGGTCCATGACTTTTATGGTAACTGGTTCCTATTATTGGTTTCTATTAATGTAAAACATAAGTGAACATAAATGAGGCGTGAATCATTTCTTTTTATTAGCCCCACAGTCTTCACTCAGTGCTTGCAGTAACTCCAGCTGTGTCTTGTTAGTGATAACCTATTTAAAGAAGATATTTTTAAGAATAAAGAATTTGATTAGAAATGTTTGTCCATTTTATATTACTTCTATCCTGCACGATAGTGATGAAAAAAACACAATATGTAATTAATGGTACTGCAAAATCTTCAGCTGTCTCTGATTTGCATTGTGCCTAATATGATACTAATTAGTCAACCAGTGGATTTTAGTAACTAGTATATATAACAAGTAACTTGAAAGTAGGATGTGTTGTAAGTTACTTTTCACAGTGCAGCTGTGGACTTTCCTCTGCTAAGTATTTGTGTCATTGAAAGGTTGCTGTTGGTATCAGAATAATTGAACAATAGAGTTTAGAATTTTAAATAAACAACATTTAAAATAAATAAAAGTTATGGTTCTTCTGTGTTTAGGAGGCTGCCTAATAAATGTAAGATTTGACATTCACCAAAAATTTTTAACTTAATGAAAAAATATACTCTCCTATTTCTACTTATAGAAAGGCTTTTAGAAAGCTCTGCTTAGAATTTTTTCCTAATATTTGTATTTACTCAAAAAGGAAGACCATTGTTTAATTATACTAGGCAAAATGTGCTTTGTAAAATAGAAAATAAAGCAACCTATAACAAGTTATAGCATGAAGATCTTTTGTGTAAGTGAGGAAACTTCCGTTTAATTCAAAAATTTTTTAATGTAATTACTTGTACTTGAGAGAACATTGCTTGAAAATAAGTGATATTATGTCATATATATTCTAACTCAGAGAAGAACAAATGGTGTTCCAAAAATAACAGTAAACCTGCTATACTTTGTAGATGTTCGCTAGCCTTGGTCATCGATAATGCATTTAAAAAAAATCTTCCATAATAAAACATATTCCTCACCCTGTCTTGTTAGGGGCCCTTCCGCGATATCACTGAAGTATTAGAACAACGCTACAAGCCTTTGGAGCCAACGTTGCGGGTGGCAGAACCAATCGATGAATTAAAGTTGGCCAGAGAAGATCTCAGAAGAAAGGAATGGCTGCGAAATGTAAATGACAATATGTGAGTTATTAGCTTAACAAAAATAGCTGTGCCATATTTACTGCCTTAAATTTTCTAATATTTTCTATTTCCTAATATTGTAAAAAATCCTTTATTTGTGAGAAAAAAGCCACCCTTGACGTGTTTCAAAGCAATAATTTTTCAACATGCAAATGATTTAAATGAGGTCAGTATTGATGGCAAAAATTCTTTTGATAACTCAAAAGACAAAAAAAGATTGATATTTTGAGGATAAATAACTATCTATGTATAATATGTGAAGATAGTTTCCTAATTATCTATACTGAAAGCGTATGTGATACTCCTAAAATAAGATCCATAAGATCCAATAAAAGAGAAACATTTTTCTTAATATGGACTAATATCATTTTGATATATCGACATAACATTGTAGTTTTAATAAATCAGGTATATTGAAAGAAGTTAGTTTCTTTATAACTGAGGAAGATGACTGAAAAAGATGAAGAATGATTGAATAGCATATGTAATTTTAAATTATTTTATTAGCATCCATTGATTTGGATCTCAATTCATACATCTTTCTCTCAGGCACTTTCTCTCTCTTAAGACACTTTGTCATCCATAGAGTCGTATGTAATTTGTAAATAGACCATTTTAAATCTATGGCTTTATTTTTATTATGTCATTATTCTATAATGCCTCATAATTATCTTTGCAATATTTCTTATATTTTTAATACTACTTACATGCTAAGACATTATGACATTAATATACTAATTATAATAATAATATTGGTATATAAATTATGTAATATAAAATACATTTAAAATTATAATTATTTTATTTACATAATGTATGTGCTAATTATGTTACAATGATAATTTATATGATAATTGTAAAATATTTTAAAATTGTGTTTTGATATATAGAGAAATTAGAATTACCTCTTATCCCTTGTAGTGGATTTCGGATTATTTTAACAGTTAGAAGATATATATATATATATATGTACATATAAAATATGCTTTATTTTAATTATACATTTCTGAAGAGACTTGAAAAGTAAAAATTTTTACACAAACATATCAAAGACAAAATTGGCAGGCATCTGAAGTAATTTTTATAAAGTTTTTCACTTTATAGCACTTACTTGAAGTGAAATAATTAGCTGTGGAGTGTTCGGCAGATTCTTTCAATAACTGATTGGGTTAACCCAATATATGATGAGTAAGAAAATAAGGAACTTTATTTTCCAATTAGTTTTGAGGAGGTAGATTCATTTTACCACACATATTGTAGAAGATTAAAGCTTCTCAGACCTAGTCAAGCAAAATATAAAATTTAGTGATGATTAGCTAAAGAGTTATATTACTCAGAATTATTTTTCTATTTCCAATGATGCAAAGGTTTACAAAATAACAAGACTAATTGCTCAAACAAATAATTGAAATACTTTTTGATTATCTGATTGGTTTTCTACAGATATTATTATATATTAAACATACTGAGATATCATTTCTTACTATTTGCTTTGGTAAGCCTATAAAGATCAGCTATCAATGTTATCCCCAAAGAAAGTTGAAGTTGCTCAATTTGTATTTTCCATGGAATATTTGTACATATCTTCAACTTCCACGGTGTTGCTGATGACCTTTTGCCCTGAAGCTTTCAGAGATTGCAAAGTCTTTCTAGATTATCAACCAATCAGAAACAAACCAGTTGGAAATGCTAAAAAAATTTCTTATAGGTTCAAAGCTATTATATTTTTTGCAACTAAGCTAAGTATTGGTCTTCAGCCTAAGAATGATTCCATTATTAGAGTTGAAACACTGATTTTTTTCATAGATTCTTCTGAAACCATTTTGGTTTTTGTATACTGGATAATGCATTATTGTGTCTTGTGTGGCAAAAGAAATACTAGAAATGTAGGTTTTATATTTTTGCAGATAAGAATTCCATGACGTATACTCCTGTCACAAAGATGCATGGTTTGTTAACGCAGAGGGTCCTTTTATCACGAAACCAAATTTACCTATAAGGAATTAAAAGTAGTATATCAGGAACCTGCTATCTAGACCTAGGAAGGTAGAGCTTTCATTTCTAATTTTAAGGACTCAAAGGGTAGCATTATATCTGACAGTTTAATACATTTGGTTCTTTTGTTTTCATATGATTATGAAAATTGCAGTGTGTTATAGTATAAGTAGTACGAACTTTGGAACTAGATCTATATGAGCTCAAATCTTAGCTCCATTAAACAGCAGTATAATCGTAGGTTAGTGATTTGGCCTGCCTGAAACTATTTACCTCTCTAAAGATGAAGCAGAAATGTTACCTTAAAAGGTTGTAAGGAGGATTGAAAGAGAAAATGAATATAAAGTGTCAGGAACATAGTAGGGTCTTCATAAAAGAGAATTATTAACATGCTTTGTATTACCACAAATGTGATTCTGCATGTAAGACATCAAAGAAATGATAAGAAATCACAGATTCCAAAGGTGGGCTGGATTTTATCCCCGAGCCTGGAGAACCAGAAGTTGAGGAGGCAATGAGCAGAGCTACACCACAGCATCCTAACCTCATTAAAGGCTTCTCTTTATGCGTCTAAAAGACAAATTTTCTAAGTGTATTAGTTTGCTAGGGCTTCCATAGCAAAGTACCAGAAACAGATGGCTTAAAAAACAGAAATGTACTGTATTACAATTCTGGAGGCTAGAAATCCAGGAGGGAGGTGTCAGCAGGGCTGGTTCCTGCTCTGTAACAATCTGTTCATGCCTCTACCTTAACTTCTGGTGGTTTGCTATCAGTCTTTATGTTCCTCATTTCTAGAAGCATTCCTCTGATCTCTGCCTTCCTCACATGGTGTTCTCCCTGTATCTGTGTCTGTGTACAAATTTTTCTTTGCTGTAAGGACACCATACATATTAGAGTAGGGACTTACCCTACTCCATTGTGACCTCATCTGCATGTGTTACATCTGCAGTGACCCCGTATTGGTCCGTTCTCACACTACTATAAAGAACTACCTGAGACTGGGTAATTTATAAAGAAAAGCAATTTAATTGACTCACAGTTTCAAATACTGTACAGGAAGCATGGCTGGGAGGCCTCAGGAAACTTACAATCATGATGGAAGAGTGAAGTGGAAGCAAGCACATCTTCACATGGTGACAGAAGACAGAGAGCAAAGGGGGAAGTGCCACACTTTTAAACAACCAGATCTTATGAGAACTCACTCACTATCTTAAGAATAGCAAGGAAAATCCACCCTGATGATCCAATCACTTCCCAGCAGATCCCTCCACCAACAATGAGAATCATAACTCAACATGAGATTTGGGTGCAAACACAGACTCAAACTATGTCAGACCCTATTTCAAAATAAGGTAACATGTTGAGGTACTGGGTGTTAGGAATTCAACATACAAATTTTGAGAAAACACAATTCATAACATTGAGTTCCTAATTAACTGTTAGGAATGACAAAATGCTTCTTAATAATCACAGGCTGGTAGGTTATAGCTGTTAGTTAAACATCTTCTTTAAAATAAATGTAAGAAATTGGACAATAATAATACAGACATAGAAGATAGATTACAGAAGTTTTTTTGGAAGTCATTTTAAAGTTTTATTTGTTCTTGTTTTTAAGGGAACTCCTTCAATTTTCTCATGCCATCTCAGAGAAAACTATTTTCCTTACTTATCTGCCTATCCTTATGAAGCCAGGAATCTAAATAAGCAATTAGTAAATGATTATAAAGCCACCCGTATTTGGGAAGGTCTCATCTCATCTAAATATTGTGAGAAATAAAAAGGATTACTTATTGACTCAACAGATGTTTACATGTCAGGAATAGTTCCAAGCTCTAGAGACACAGCAGTGAATAAATTAGACAAAGCCTCTACTCTCGTGAAACTTACGTAGCTTGAAACCAAATCAGAAAACCTAACAAAATTTTTAGCGAGATTTACCAAGTACTTGATAAATGGTCACGTGTGTGTAACAGACAATGTGTGTATTTTTAAAATGTCAAGTTTTCTCTGGTCTCTGATGATCTAGGAAAGCATTCTTGATAGACAAAAAACTGAGTTGAATCCTGCAAAAGACGTTTGAAATTTTGATAGAGAAAAGAACAGAAAGTAGCCAAAAGTAGGTTGATGATATGAAAAGAAAAACCATGGTAGGAAAAGTTGATGGAAAAATGACAAGACAAATTTGATAGGCTAATGTTTATATAAGAGGGCGAGAGAAAGAAAAATTGCAAAAAAGTTCAAGGCCAAGGAGTTGGTGGTTTATCCTCTAGGTAGTGGAAAATTATTTATGGTTTTTGAGAGAAAGTGAATGGTATAAAAATAATATTAATTTGATTGGGAGATAAATGTACTTGAGAAGAATATCCTAGATGCAATAAAATCCATTAGGAAAAATATTGCAGTAATTTTGGTAATAGCTAAGTGGTTAGAAATAAAATGATAGAAGGATTTGATCTTCTCTTTCTTCTTCTTCCTCTGTATAAACTTTGAATGGTTGCTTCTATTTGACAGACTTTACCACCTCTATGCTGATGATTACCATTCTAAATCTCTACACCCTTGATCCTACATTTCAGATTTACATTTTTGGTTGCTGTCTTTGTTTGTATCTCCACCCGATGTCCTAAATGCAATATATAACACACTTTCCTGCTTCTTTTGTTGAGTGTGAATTGTATCACCAACTATCTGCACAAGCTAGAGATTTGTGAGTTACCTTCTCCTCCAGCATCACCCACATCCTATCAAGTTCTCAAGTCCTTAAGTGTTTCTCAAATTCAGCCTCTCTTCCCCTTTATACTATTACTATCTTAATCCAGGCTTCTTAGAATTCCTTAACTTTAATTGCCGTAAAATGCCTTCAACCTAGTCTACCTAGTCTTACTCCCACTCAGTGTATTCTACCACACCAGCACTAAAGAGATTCAATTATGCTATTATTATTCAGCTAAAATGCCTTTCAATGGCTTTTTATTGCCTCTAGGATAAAGTTTAATTTCTTATTA